TCTGGCAGTGAGCTAGCACTAAACCTGAGGAAGTCTAACACATGAGGTGGGTAATTTGAGGGTTGGTTGATAAATAGGCTTCTGGCCTTGTTCTGTTTCCTGGTGTATCTAGTGGGTACACACATTTATCTGGGGTTTATTTCCCATTTCTAAATATGCAGTTAGAACAGATATAATTAACAAGTTGGATAATATAATCTCTGAAAAGTATCTATGTTCACAGTCACCTTCCTTCCTCTTTTTAAAAGGAAAGCGTGCTTTTTTTTTTTTTTTGTGGGACCCTCGCCAGCGGCCGGGGAACGAACTGGCGCTGCAGAGGCTGCGGGCAGCCTTGCAGCCCAGCGCTCAACCGCTGCGCCACCAGGGGAGGCCCAGAAAGCATACTCTTGACTCATACTTAATGTTAGTGATAGTACACTTAGCAGGGCCATCAAATTTCTAAGTATAGGTTCAGGGGGAAATTGTCCTAATCCTGTAGGTCTGTTTTCTCTCATCTTTACATATTCTTGTAGGTATGAAAATAAGTATATGATACACATTCTGAATTTGGAAAAACTGATACAGTACAGTGATACTTTTTTCCTCAACATAATTAGAATGTTTTCATGGACTATAACTTTTTTTTTTTTAATATCTTCACATTGGGTAAAATCAACAAACATGAATTTATGTGATTTTTTTCAAATTGGGTGTACAAGATTCAACATATGGTTAAAATATTGTTGACAGGTGTTTAACAAAATATTCCAATTACTAATACATCTCAATCTTACATAATAGTTATTATGCACTATATCTTAACAAACAATAATGTGCAATTATATATTTGAAAAATATAAATATGCATGAGTGTACAGTTTTTCAGAATTCCAGTAATGAGTATGCAAGCAAAACTTTTCTAATTTTGAATCATATAATAAAGTATCATTATATAGAAGGTTGAAATGTAAGCAGAGATGGGCCACAAGTACTGAGAATCAGTTATCAATTTGGTAATTGTTTATTAATTATGTTGGTACATCACTGGCACTCATATCAAATGGCTACGATGTGTTAAAATATTAAGTTGTTTTTTTATTTAACCTTTTCCCCTCCACCTAATTATAAATGAGATGATTTAGAAAGCAGGGAAGGAACTGAAAATGGGAAAAGGAAGGTGGAGAAAAGGGCAAGAGTGAGCATGTTGGCAGTGAGCAGTCATTTCGATGTGTCAGCTTTAATGTGGATGTAATTGACTAAATGACAGAGTGCCCAGAGGCTGTTTTTGGACAGGATAGTTTTTCAGCTTTCTCTAAAGCTTGAGGAAAGAGCAAAGGTTAGTCAGAGGATTATGAGGTGGTGATACCCATTTAAGATTTTCTGACATAATCTGAGTTTAAATCAAACGGGTATACGCAGAAGATGAACAGGATTTCTTAGTATATCAGAATATCCATTACCATCAATTGTAAATGAACGAAGTATATTAAGGATCAATAATACAAGATATTAAATTATTTTAGTCAGTATGCATAATGTATTGTCCCTCTGCTGAGAGCAGGAGTTGCAAAAGGATCATAAAAAGGCTTTGAGGAAAGGTTAATTTTTTTAGTAGATTGAAAAAAAATGTTGTGTGGTAATAGGGATCTATAGAAAGCTTCTCTGCTATATGGATGTAAAAACCATGCTTACCTTGAGTATGTTTCTGTAAGACACAATGCTGTAGCACACTTAAGAAAATGTGTTAAAAGTGTAGATTTCACATTATATTCCTACCAGAATCAAAATAAGTAAAATACATACAGAAGAACATGAAAATATGTTCAGCACCATTAGTCATTAGGGAAATGAAATGAAACTACAATGAGACACTGGTACACACATATCAGAATGGTAAAAAGCTAAAAAACAAAAAACAAAAACAAAAACAAAACCAATCTTCCCAAGTGTTTGTAGAATGTGAAGAAATTGGGACTCATACACTTCAAGTGAGAATATAAAATAGTACCTTTGAAAAACAGTGTGACTATTATAAAGTTAAGTGTACAGCTATTAGATGTACTAGATATTTTTTCCTAAATATGTACCCAAAATAAATTAAAACAAATGTCCACTAAGACTTACTTGCACATGTTTATAACTTCAAACTTTTAAATATTATTGTAAAAGGCATTTTAAAATAATTCTACTCTTGAATATTCATAGCTCTATCATAAAATATGATTGATTTTTACATAATAACTTTGTATTTACACCCTTACTAAACAAACTTAAAAGTTTTGGGATTCTGGCAATTTGGAAGATCCCAGCTTTCCTGTCCCCCAACAAACATCGACCATTGGAATATACACAAAATGAATTAACTTCCTAAAACCTCTAGAATCCACTTAGGAAGTTTTAAGAAAACTATGGAATGACAACTAAAGAAAAACCTAGAAAATTCACACATGAAGAGTAAGATGACAACTTCATTTTTGTTGCATAATCCCATTGCCAGCTGGCATCATTCAGGGATAGAAAGGAACTTCCCAGCTAGTAAGAATTCCTCTCTCCAGGGAAGGAAGGGTAGAGTGAGCTACCAGCTTCTCTATCTCATTCATCACCAAGAGGTCCCACTTCAGTTTCTCCCTGACCAGACTGGCAAAGATAGTCAACTAGGGACAAAGTGGAAAAAGAAAGGCAGTAAGGGAACACACAGTAGAAGTGATCGTGGCTCACATATACCTACCCTACAGACAAACTCTGTAGATTCTGCCACTGACAAGTCACTGACTGCACAGATCTTACCAGCTGCCCCACAGGAATTTACTTTTCATTAATAGCCGCCTCAGTTCTTCCTTGTTCCTTCCCACCATTACTCCCAATCCAGCCAGCCTAAACCTACACCAGTAGCCATCAAGGACCTCAGTCACCTAAGTCCATTTTCACCCAACCAGAGTCAGGAGCTATGCATACCACCAGCTCAGTCCTCAGCCACTACAAAATTTACATATTGCAAACTGAACAAATCTCAAGGTTAAAGTTTGAATTACATAATCTTAGACTAAATCAAAAGACAAGAGTGCTTTCATTATTGTGGAGTAATAATATCCTTTCCGATCAATCCCTTTACACCAACAATCACTGTTAATGATTTCTTTCTCCATATATTGGATTTACCCACTTTGTGAATTTCCTATAAAAGGAAACATGCAATTATCACTTTTTTTGATTGCCATGCTTTGGTGATTTCTCCATGTCACTGAATGTATCAATATTTCATCCCATCATTGCTGCTGAGTGATATTCCATTTTATGAATATAACACAAAGAATTAGTGATGGACATTTGGGTTGTTTCTATTTTTTTATTTTATATAAAGGTGCCATGCATATTATTATATAAATCTTTTTGTGTGTATATGAATTTAATTCTCTTTGGGATATAGACCTAGGTATGGAACTGCTGGGTAATAGAATAGGTGTCTTGTCAACTTTACTAGAAACTTCCTAACAGTTTTTCTAAGGGATTATGCCATTTTACATTCACACCAGCAATGTATGAGTGTTATAGTTGTTCTACATCCTTGCTAACATGTAATATTGTCTATTTTTATAGTTGTACCAATTTTCATAGGTGTGGGGTGGTGTTAGGTTGGGTCTTAGTTTGCATTTCCTTGTTAATAAGATTGACCACCTTAGAAATTATTATTTTGAAGTATGTGTTCAAATAGTTTGCCATTAAGATTTTTTTTAATTGATTGATTTCTATTAAGTGACTTTGTATTATGACTTTGTATTTTCTCTGTGACTGACTTGATTCCTTAATGGTGCCCACATTACAATTTCAATATTTATATTACATTCATAATATTCCATTTCATGTATGTACCATCATTTACTTAAATAGCTAAAGCGTTTGTAACTTTAAATAATATTATAATAAATATCCTTTGCATAATATTGTCACAGAAATTATTTTACATATATTTTCTTAGGATATAATTTATAAGAGATTAAATTTCTGAGTCAGAACATAATATTATATATACATAAAATATATATACTATAGATACAGTTTTTTAATTTCTTTTTATTTTTATGATTCTCTTTATATATATCCTAGTTCAGATATTCTCCATCTTAGGCATTCTCTATTTCTGTTATGGTGTTTTTGATATTCTCCTGTCTCACTGCAGGTCCTATATAAAAAACTTTTGACAGATCTTTGGAGACTTGGGTTATAATTTTACTTTCTACTGATTGTCCTTTTCTGACACAAACAATTATTTTCCACATTCTTTCTATATCTTAGCAATATTTCTCATCTGTTGAAAGAAAGCCCTCCAAAATATAATGTGGAAGGAAAGGAATATTTGTTAAAAATCTGCTATATGAAACTCTTAGAGAAAATGTAGGGGGAATCACATAGTATTATGCACAAGTGATAAAAATAAAAATAAATTGGACTAAATCAAAATTAAAAATATGTGCAGTAAAGGACATAACAGTGAGAATCTATGGAATAAGAGAAAATGTTTGCAAATCACATAACCTATGTGGAGTTTATTTTTAGAATACATAAAGAACAAGTCAACAACAAAAGATTCAAATAGCCCAGTTAAAAGTGGGGAAAGGATTTGAACATTTTCTGATATATATAGTATGCAGTCAATATAAAAAGATGTTCAATGTAACTTATTATTATAGAAATGGAAATTAAAATCATAATCAGATATCACCTCATACCTATTCAATGAAGATGCAGAGAAATAGGGACTCTTGTGCTGTTGTGAAAATACAAAAATGATGCAGTTACTATGGAAAACAGCTACAGTTCTTAAAAATTTAAAAATAGAATTACCATATGATATGGCATTTTCACTTCTCTTATATATCAAAAATAATTGAAGTCAGAATCTCAAAGAGATATTTGCACACATCTTCACAGCAGTATTATTCATATTTCAATGGTTTACAGCAAATTATAATTTTGTTTCATTATTAGACATTTATCACTGGTTCTTTTACTTTTCATTCTAGGGCCCAATTTAGGATGAAACAGCATTTCCAGGAGCAGAAAAATCAGTGGATGGAGATGCAGCATGATGGGGCTTAAATCCTCTCAAAATGGTACATATTACCTTCAACCATATTAAATTGGACAAAACCAGTCACATGGCCAAATATGACTCCATGAGGTGAGAAATATAACCACAGGTTTGTGACTGGCAGGGAAAGACAATGAATATTTTTACAACGATAAACCCTCCCCCAAGAAAGATTGCCTAATGTCTGACTCCACAAACCACGGTGGTACGCTGACTAGCTTTAAATTTTGTCTCTAAATAGATGACTACAGGCAAATTACTGAACCACTCTCTGTATTAGTTAAGTCATTTGTAAGACTAGAATAATTATATTAGCTACTTTTTAGGCTTCTGAGGATTAACTGAAATAATACATATAAAACATTCGGCAACATTTAGTCACTATTCTCTCTCTCTATATATATATATTCATACACACACACGCATATATATATATATATATATATATATATATATTCACTATATTTTCACAATTATTATCTTGGGGTAATATCCAAGTGAAGGTGACAGGTTTTGGCCAACCATTCATTCCTTAAATATATGCTTAGTGCCTCCCACTGGGAAGATGATTTTGCCTAAACTATTTTTCTCTCCTTTTCTCTTTAAAGTATATTTTAAGTATACTTAAAAATAAGATTTATCCTTAATTACAGATGTGTGGCATATTCATAAAAAGCAATGAAGGGAAGGCATGTTAATGGGGCCATTTTTTTATTGCAAATAATTTCATAATTTATTCCACTGCCTATTAATTCAACTTTCCTAAATTGACAATGGCAATTTTAATTTAATCAAAGACTCTTTGAATATCTTCTCTCCAATAGACTGAGGATATGAAGAGTGAAATACTATTGCCTTTGAAATTTTTATTGTTTAGTGAGGGAGACAAAATATTTACAAGAAATACAAGATAATCTACATGTGGGCAAGGGGAGGAGAGAGGGAAGAAGAGTAGTGGTAAATTAGATTTGGGAAGATATATAGAATTATGACTCAAAATGAAACCTAATGTGTTACGACAACCTAGGAAGACCACTTTTTAATCAATGGAATGAACTATCTAGTGCAATGAAAATGATTTTGAAGCTACAGTTAGTAATAATTTTTATGGAGTTGAAAACAATGAAGGAACTATGCTAAATGTTTTGATTACATTAAAAGTAAAATGTTCATTAACTTATGATTTAAAGGTGATTATTTTAATTCACCTCTGTTATTCTTCAACTAGCCACACTGATTACTGGTGGCTGCTGAGTTGGCAGTTTGATTACTATGGAGAACAGCAGGGAGTAGTGATACTGTACTTACTAACTACAGAACTTAAATAAATCATGTAATGCTGGGGCCCCTGAGAAGACTTGTGCTTATTTTTGTAGGCCTTGGGTATTCCAAGTGCAAGATAGATTTTACTTATTTCCCTTCCTTTACTTCTTTCCGTTTGGTTAGAAATACCAAAGTTGAAGTGGGTTTATATATACTACCTATCAAACTTGAAATTTCCTGCTCTCTCTGGAAGAATTTAGTTAGCATCCTTATATGGAAATGATTCTGGAGTTGCTGGACACTAGAAGACGGAATGCTTTCAAAGTTGAAGAAGTCTCAGGTTCTCTAGAAAATTCAGCACCAGGCAATAAAAATTATAATACCAAATCATACCGAACAACCTAACCTGTGGGGCCAGCACATTTAAAAATGCAGTGTCTCTCATTCAGAAATTATTGAGAACTTCAAATTGGCAGAGCATTAAACCATTCATGGACTCCCCTGAAGATAGGGCACTGTATCTTTTTTTTTTTTTTAAGATTTATTTACTTACTTACTTACTTACTTACTTATTTATACAAGCACTGGGTATAGTCAGGAGTGCGGGAGGGTGAGACAATTCACTAGTGCCAGAGCGGGGAACAGAACAGGCAGACTAATGAAATACACTGCTGAGGGGAGCAGCGGGCGAGACAGGAGAGGTCTGTTGCAACATGTGGGACCCTCCCCAGTGGCCAGGGATCAAACCGGTGCTGCAGAGGCTGCTGGCAGCTTTGCAGCCCAGCACTCAACCACTGCGCCACCAGGGGAGGCCCAGGGCACTGTATCTTGACACAGGTGAGACCCCCTCATAAAGCCAGCCATGCTTGAGTTCTCTGCCTGAAGGAGGGACTTCTCAATTATCTGTATGGTTTCGAGCCCACTGAAAAAACTTCTCTTGGAGAATGGAGGTAAATAGCAGAAATGCTCATGTTTTACAGAAATTTCTATGGTTCAGTCAAACCACTATTTGAAACCTGGGCCACAGGGAAGCACTGGGGACCTTTTGTAAGAATGCAAAGAAATAAGCAAATGTAATTTCTAAAAAGACTTAGTTGGAAAAAATTTATATTTTTTTCTTTTCTTCCTTCTATTGTTAATATTGTCTTGTTTATATTGACAAAAATTTCATGCTTTACTTAAACAATAATTAAAAATATTGATTTCATATTGTTGTAATGGGAAGAAAAAAACAGTTTAATGATGATGTATTAGTCAGTATAGGCAGCATTATGCTATAGACACCAACAGTCCCCACACTTACTAGCAAAAGTTTACTTCTCTTTTACTTATTATGATGACGTTTGACTCTAGGCAACTGTGCTTATTGTGGTAACTCAGTTTAGTATCTCACACATGTATACACAGGAAATCCATACAATCATCATTGGAGTGGGAAGTAGATACATTTGAGTTTCTTGCACTGAAAACACATGTTCATGCTTTCCATCGTGGTAAGCTAGGTGTGAACGAACCATTTAGTATTATAATTCAGTTCACACCTTTTACAATTGTATTTTTTCATCACAAACACTAGCAAACTACCCTACCAAGTCTTTAGAGGAAAGCACAATTACATTTCTCATGGCAACAGGCAGTAAAATTTGGCATTAGAAAAAGTGTAATTATATCTCATATGCTTTTGTAGCCTGAAGAATCTACTTACTTCCTTTGCTCAAGCAAATCAACACAGAAACCAAATGATACATTTCATTTCAATCAAGAGTTTCAGAGGCTCAAAGACACAAGCAAGATTTAGGACTCTTTAAAAGCTATAGTGTATAAAAACAAAATTACCTCAAAAACTCTATTTTCTTAAAGTTAAATGCAAATCAAATAGGCCCTAATCTATTCAGCACTTATCTAGTGTTACTTCCTAAAGTGCTTAGAAATTCAATATGATTAGTTAGCATTTATATGGGTACTTTGCATTTTCTGTTTTTAAAAACCACTCTGCTCAATTATTTCAATCTGCTTTATGAACTTTGACAGCCAGTGGGTCCCATTTTATAGCTGAGGATACTGTGAATATTTGCAGCTCCTGGGTATCATATGGGTCACAATCTTGTTCTTGGATATGGATGGTCTTAAAATATGAGGCTTCTGCATTTCCTGACAATGCCAGTAAGTAGATTTGGGTGGGAATTTAAACCTTGTAATGCCTCCAGGTTTCTTTAGGCTATCTACTTGGTATCAGTCTCTCTCAACCCTTTTTCTGTTTACTGATACCTGCTTGTAATAATTTATATGTACTGGTGACACACCTCCACCAGTTATGTAGGATTTATGACTTTTCTGAGCAGATAAAATAATCTGCAAATTATATATAATTCACAAAGACACGCCATGTTGCTGTTCCTTCTCCCCCACTGGTGAGGATTCACTACTATGGCATGGTACTGTAATGTAGATTCCTTGAGAACAAGGTCATAGGATTCCAGCATGGAAACATTCCATTACTGTATTTCTTACCCATTGCACACATGGTCACAGATACTCAATTTATAAATGTATGATATTTTTACAGTTTGTCCTGGACACGTGTGGATCAGAACAATCCATCACTGGAACAGTTCTGTTAGGATGGTAGAGAAAACAATTCATAGTATTATATAGAACAGAAATTCTCACTTCCTCTAAGAAACTTTTGAGGTTCTTTTTGATAGACATTTTACTCATTCTATCACCAGCTTAAGGTGCACTTGTACTTGTACATAACTGCTCTCACAGATTTTTTTTTTTTGATACAGACTTTATTCCTGTGTATGTACATTCCCCTTGTTCAAATATACAGTAGCCTGGGGTCAAGTTCTTTGCTTTTGTACATTTAAATATATACACACTTTCTAATATAGAATTTTTGCACATAAGCTTTGATTTATGTCTGGTTAATATGACTTAATAAAATCAACTTTTATTTCTAAGTTTCTTAAGATGTGCCCATTTTCTGTTGGTAGACCTGTGCCAAGTCAATTATTTATATTAAAATTTCTTTTGAAGTAATTTTCTCACCTACTTCTTTTTAAAACTGCAAATTAGAATTTTTACCAGTACACAAGAGATACAAGAGACTCCGACGTGAGCTTAGAATTAAATAGAGACTAAAATCTGTGCTTTATTCAAGTTCTCCAGGACTCAAATTGTGTCATCTCATTCAAGAAGCTTCTGCACATATTCCTAGATAGAGTCAGACACTTCCTGCTTTGTTTCCCTCCTGGAGTACTTTGAACTCGGCTGGAATTATAGCATGAAGCACTCTGTGTGACATTTATTTATTTACATTACTGCTTCTAAAAACAGCATGTAAACTCCTTGACAGGAGAGACTGTGTTTTATCTCTGTAACCCTTGTGCCTTGAATAAAGCAGTGTTTCCAATGATGCTAAATATATTTTTTATTAAACATAAGTTACTTACATTTGGGTATTGCAGATCGACACAGATAACTTCTATTTAAAATCTATGACAAACTGTTTACATTAAGTGGACTAAAATAGATTTTATGTAAGGCAACTACAAAACCAGTTAGTTTCCCAATATCTGGAACAGGATAAGGAAGCCTGATTAAGAGACTAGAATTAACATCAACCTCCCCATTTCCGACTAGATTTCAGAGTAATGTCTCTAGCAAATATATACCAATTGCAACAATGTCCATATGGACTGAGTTCCTTTAGCAAAATTTCTTTGTATTTCTAAGAGATGGCCTGACTGAGTCACATGGAGTTGCTAAAAACTGTTGGGTTATGTTTTATGGATATTATGGCAGTGTATGGTGACGGCATAAAT